TGTTTCTTTCTTCCCCCATTTAAGGAGCAGCTGTTCTTTTCTAGGTTTGTGCAGAAAAAAATCAGCGTAGACATTTGCTATGATCTTTTCTGCATGTTTATGTCATGATGCCCTAGAAAAGGTGAGCGCCCATGTAATATATCTATTTCTGTTTCTCTTGATGCTTGCCTTCAGTAGAGGAGAAGAACAAGCTCTGAGGAGCATTACCACTTAATGCTAGCACCATCTCCTTGCTTTTAAGTCTTGAAAGGAGCTGACTGTTAGCATAAGAAACCATTAAGCTGAGGCTAATTGGGAGGGTAAGAAGTTAAAAATTGTCTCTTTCACTGTATGAAGTTCATGCTGGATAAAGGAAAATGAGCAGCTTGGGACATGGTAAAGTCATTAGTTTCCTTCAAGGCTTTCTCTTAAGTTAGTTGCTGCACTTCTGTGAGAGATGCTTGCTGCTCTTCAGTTTAAAAGGCAAATCTTCAGAAAAGCACTGCAACCAGGATGATTTTGTTTATTAGAGAATTAACTGCTGCTTGTGACTCACAGATTTCACTGGAGTCTCCAAACTGCTGGCGGGCTAAGGAGTGATCCCAGATCTGAGGGTCTTAGCTCTAGGGAGGAGATAACTACAGAAATGGTGCAGAATGTCTCTGTGCTCATTGTTCAGTGAAAAAAACGCAAAAGATTATATTTGGCATAATTGGCTTTACACCAAAAACTCACGATGAGCACAGTCAAAAGTGGCTGTTGCCCAGACTTAGATTAGCAAAGCTATGTGAAGAAATAAAAAGAAAATAGATGATCCAAGGTCACCGTGTATCCTTTTCTCAGCAGTTAAATTTCAGCTACAGGAAAACAACTAGCCCAAATGTCTGATACAAACAGATGTGTTCTCCTAGAAATAAATGCACCCACTTAGGCTGTGTCTGCATTAGGTTTGTTAGCGTGCTTTTATGAGCTTTGGCAAGTGCAATGCTTAATATCTGGAGGTGGGAGTGCTCTGGGAGTTGTCTGAAAGGCTTGCAAGACTATATCTGATCACATCCACCCACACTAATTAACACATTACATAAAGTACAACAAGTTTCTCTCTGCAAAGCGCTTGCCCAGGCACTTTCTGTGATTCTAGAAGAGCTAGATGGACTCAGTCACTTTTTAACCTCAGCAGAACAAAAGACAGGGAGGGCTTATTTCCCTCTTCCCGGGCTCATGCCTTTCCTCCATCCTGCTAAATTACACCATCAGCAGGGAGGCAGCTGATGTTGACTTTGTGAAGTTCACCAGGGTGCACCAAGGGACAGGAGTATTGTTATTTTTAGAATTGAAATCACAAAATCAAATATGGAAGAAATTAGATTTACTTACAAAGGATGCTTTCTGCTCTTCCCTTTCTCTTCTCACCCTGCCTGACTCAGTCTGAAAGTTAATACGACAAAGCACCAGCTTCTTAAATAGCTAGAACTGAAAAATCCTTCTGTTTAAATATAGGGCCTACTCTCTTTATGCCAGAGTAACACTTGCCTCCATAATAGCTACCGTTTTTTCTGTCATTCCAGTTCAAAGCTCTAATATGGAGTCTTCTTCTCCATAGATTAGAGTAAATAAAACCTGAAGAGCTTAGGCAATTTCTTAAGAAGCTGCAGTGGGGACCTCCTCCTACAACTTCTCCTAGATTTCTCCAGCAGAATAATAAATATATACCTCCGATTTAAATTTATTCCAGACCCCTTGTATGACATCTGGCTTCAAGATGGTGGCACTGAAAAGTGAAGTAATGACATAGGAATACAGAAGGAAAAAAAAAAATGTTGAGTGCAGTGGAAAGCAGGAGGCAATGGAGAGAGCAGGGAAAGCCAAAATTAAAATAAGTCAAAGGGTGGCGGAAATTCCTTTGAAAAAGCCTTAGGCTTCTACAAAGCTCGTCTACATTTGCAGCAGTTCCAGATTACCCAGTAT